TACCCATGGCTAGATTTGCTCTGCCTTCCCCCAAAGCACCAGCATCTCACAGCCTGCTTGGACAATTTGCTTGGATGTCTTTGCTCTCTTGCTTTCATGTTCTGGGATGCCCTGAGTGCAATCGAGATCCTTCAGGTGCCTGGCTCTCCTCTGGACTCTGTTCTAGAGCTCAGCATGGAACTGGAACCTCCCAAAAGCTATTTGGTGGTCTCTTTGTTGACCAAAGCCAGTGATTTCTGTACAAGACATTAACAAACCTGCTATTTTTCAGCGTTGTGGTCCTAAATTGGGGTGACCATGCAGAACTGGGAAATGGAGGCCAGGAGTCTGGAATGTATCCTGAAGATTGGGTGAAATTGGAGCTTTTTTCTTCTAAGATGGACCTGAAATAAAATGTTAGTGCCTGCTTGGCCCCAGTGGCTTTTCCAATGTCACTGTGCATCTGTGCTGCAGAGATGAGAGATCTTTCCTAGCCTGACTTGCCTTATCCTGGCCTTGGAGCTAAAATTGGATGCAGAGAGGTTGTAAAGCCCGGGGAGACTGGTTAATCCTCCTAATTTGGTCTTTATTTTGAAGAGTAGCAGCTGTTTAATTGGAAAGTATTGACAAAAGTTTAACCAAGTCATTGAGTAAGCAAATGTGCAGGAGAGGGGCAGGGAGGGAGAGGATGAGTTGAACCAACTGGATCGATGGCAGAAATCACTCCCCTGGCGAAGCTGCCTTTACTCAGAGGCTGTGAGAAAGCTGGCAAACGTTAGGAGTGATGTTTGCCCCTCTGCTATCACCAGTGTGTGCTTATTAATGGTGTTATCTGTGCACTTAGCAGTCCTAACACCCAGGCTGGGCCAAGCGGATCTGTAAACAGGACCCGGGAGGAAGGAGGTGGGTGCCCAGCCGCTGTGTTTGCCCAAAGGCCACCCGAGGAAGGCCGTGCCCTCACATCTCCCCGGCCAGCCCACGCCCTTCCTTCGCCGCCGATAACCGTCGGTGACGTCTCCTGTGGGGGTGGTGAGTGAGAGATTTGTGGGGTGACTGCAAAGAGCAGCCTCATCCAAAATGGGTGAGGGGGAGCTGTGCTGCATCGCCCCAGCTCCGTCCCTCCGTCCCCTCTGGTGGGCTCTGTGGGTGTGTGCTGGCTCCACTCATGAGTGTGGCTCTGTGTTTCCCCTGCTGGCCCTTGGTGAAGGTCCCTTCGACCTCCTGACACCTCCTCTTTTCTAAGGACCACTGTCTTGCTCCCTGGGAAGTGCCTCCTCCTGCCCTGGCTCTCAGAACACCCTGACCCTGCTCACAGGCTGCACCTTGCCTTGTGCTGCAATCCCATCCCTCATTTCCAGCCTTGTGACCTTCTCAATCCATCCACTTTCCATCTGCTGCACTGACAGATAATAATTATCTTGGATTCCTCCCCTGTCCCTGACACACCTCAGGGAAAATCACCCAGATAAAAAGTGTATTGTTATTTTTTCTTTCTCTAATAAAACAAATCTCGCCCTGAAATAACAGATGATTAAGAAGTGAGCAGTGGGATGATGCCTCAGTTCTGGCCCTGGCTGTGGCCTTCCCTTTTCTGAGCAGTGATCTCTGCTCTCCTGCTCTGTCTCTTCTCCTTCTTGCTGCTCTCCCTTGCTGGCTCTGACCCTGTGTGCCTCAGGTCAGGGTCTGAATCAGGACCTTTTTGACCCTCACACAGTGTCTCAAGTCCTGGGGCTGGGGCTCCTTAAGTTTGACCAGAGCTGAGCTCTTAACCCTGGCATCCCCTGAGGAGTGACTTTTACTGGTTCATGTCTCCACCAAAGCCCTGTGGCACAGCTGGTCCTCGGATCCCTGGGAGGCCAAGGTAGATTTTATACCAAGGCCAGTGAGACTGGGAGCCCCTGGCAAGACATGAGAGCCCCAGGACAGCCCTTTGCTTTCTGTAGCTCTTCATTTGTAGTGACTACCATTTAAACAGTCACCCTGAGGCACATCACTATCCCATTTCCCATCCCCTGCTCTGGATGGGATCTCTGCTCCATAATGATGCAGTGGCAGGAGCAGTCAGCAGGATGCTGCTGGTGGCCTTGGGGCCAAGCCTCATTCTCTGCTCCGACAAAGCCTTTCTGTTCACCCAGCTTCCATGCCTCAGTTTCCCTCCTTCCAGGCACAGAAGATCTACCAGCAGTGCTTTTCCACAGGGATCTGTCACAAGGACGTGTACAAAGGACCAAGTGGGATCCCTTCATGTTACTCAGGTATTCTGTGTTCGGGGTGTTCTTCCCTTCCACAAACTCTCCATCAGGGAGAGACATCCCGCTCTCTAACTGGGCTGTGAGGAGCTGTGCCCCAGGTCTGAAGGGAAGGGGGCAGTGATGCCTCACCTGGAGTGCAGAGTCCCAGGCAAGGGCATGGATCCATGCAGTTAGGATGTGACAGTGCCTGCTCCAGGCGTGTACCCGGGTTTGGGGGACATGCCTGGGATACTGGCTGTGCTGAGGAGCTGCCCAGGGATGTTTGGCTGATTCTCCATCAGCCTTGGAGCACATCCCTTTGCACATTAACTGGCCATGATCTGATACCTTCTAGAAAACGATCCTTGAGCACACGAGGGTTTACACAGTTTTCTTAGGGTTTGGATTTTTAGGCTTTGGATTTTTCTTTTTCGTTTTTTGGACTTGTGTGTTCTGACTTTCCCTCTGTCTGTCTGTCTCTGTTTGTCTATCTATCTATCTATCTATCTATCTATCTATCTATCTATCTGTCTCTATCCCCCTATATCTATATACCCCTTTTCTGGGTATATAGATAGGATTCACTCTCTGTTTCGCAGTCTACTGCCTGTCCCAAGATGTGTTTTTGTGGCTGGAGGGCAGAAGAACAACTCAGCCCTTGGCTGGAAACTCTGCCATCCCCACACTTGCAGCCTGGAGATGCCTCAGGTTAGCCAGGGATCCTTGCAGAGCTTATGCTGTCCCCAGAGCATGTTGGTTTACCCCAGTATGATTGTTTGTGGCTGGATGTTGTGGTTCCAGCTGACCTACCACCCTGGAGCGGTTGATTGGGATTATTGCTTCTACCAGTGCTGCTTGGGCTGTCTGGGAGTTCTCCATACACACATCCTGAGTTTATTTAGCCTCAGAAGTGCCCCTACAGCCCCTGTCCAGGACAATAGAGCAGTTGAAAGTCTGCCCTGCTTGACCCAGTGCACCCATCCCTGGGAACCTGGGGCCAGGTACCAGGAAGAGCACGTAGGAGGAAACCTGGTGTGCCCCCCAGGAAGAGAGTAGGTGATTAAAAGTGTTTTCTTCCCCTGTGTGAGCTCAGCAGCTTGGGGCTCAGACAATGTGTTGGGCTGTACATGGGACTGACGTCTGTGCGCCGTTTGCGTCTCTTTTCTGACTTAATTTCAGCTGTGGGAGCCACAGAATAATAAGGCTTTTGTTTTATGAAAGGTGAAGTTTCTAGAGAGAGATTTTATCTTTACCAGATCAATGGTAAAAATAGAACCAGGCCTTTCCAGCGCCGGTGGGGCTGGGAGAGACCTCTGGGCTGGTCACGGGAAGCATTGTCCCACCTGGAGATGCTGGATCGGTGCAACCCTCTGGGGGCAGGGGGAACTGGGGTTTACCCCCTCTTCTACCCACCCCAGGGAAAGGCTGCTGGCAGGCAGGTACAGTGGTGTCAGACCAGCCAGAGGCACTGGTCCCTGCTGGTTTGGTGATCGGGGTTTGGAGGGGAAGGTGGTTTGAAACGCGTCAGCTTGGGCTGTCAGGTGGAAAATTGCACCACTCCGTTTCAAGTACCATGATTTCCATTTATTGTTTTCCCTCTGGCAGATGAACACACGTCCGTAGGAGAGGGCTTGATGATTACTGCCACCTCTGTAGTGTTTTTTGTTGGAATGATAAACTCTGATGGAACAATAAGCCCTTTATTGGAACAGTTAAACCCTCATGTCTCAGGATGCAGACAGAGCTCAGCTGTGCCATTTTGGCATCACCCTCCTGACCTGGAAGCGTGGGCTTTCTGAGGCTCTTCTTGGACACTGGGTACAGCAGAGGGGCCCATTTCAACTTCCTGCAGCCCAGGATTCCTGCTCTGAAAGCCCCCTCAATCATACAGTGGTTCATGGAGGGCTGCAGGCACCCAGGAACCTGTGTCAGGGCCCCAGGGTCTGGGTGCTGGGCTGTGCTCACAGCCTCAAAGCACACACAGGCTTGAGGGTGCAGCACCAGCATCCCTTCAGGGCATGGGAGATCAAAGTGGCCATGGCATTGCATTGCTTTCTGTGTTGTAGGGTCCCTTCAGGAGTTCAGTGTTACAGTGAAAATCAATAAATAACTGTGCGTACAAAAATGTTCATATTTTTTAAAAAATCATTATCTATTTAAAAAAAAAAGAGAGAGAGAGAAAAAAAAAATCTCTTTATCATCCCCCAGACTGTATTGCCCACATCATCTTTATGATTATTGAGCCCTGATTCAGGAAAGCTGAGAAATAAAGTGTGCTAGAGCAATCCCATATCAGGGCCAGCCCAGGACCACACACAGAGCTCTCCTTAAGAAGAGGAGGCTGCAGTGATGCCTCCCTGGAGAGAAAGGAAAACAGTAGGGATTGGTACAGGGAAGGGTCAAGAGGGCCCATATCCACGGGCGATACAGAGAGGAAAGATTAAAATGATTCCCAAAGCCTTTGGTGGTCACCAGTTTGTTTTTCACATCTCTGCAGGGGAGTGATTTCCGACTGGCCGTACCAGAAGATGAAGTGCTTTCCCTTTCTGTGCCTTCCAGGCCTGTGTCAGCCTCTCGTACCCTCTGGATCTCTGTGCACAGGCAGGATCTAACTGCCCAAGAGTGATAAGCACCCTCTGGAGAGTTCATCAGCGGCATGGAGTGAACAGGCTTTACAAAGGAAGGTGAGTCTCTGCATGAACCAAGGTTAATCACCATGATCCTGCTTTGGACACCTTCCTTTTTTTTATGTGTTTTAAGTTTGAAGAACTTCAGACACACACAGGCACATCCACACACAAGTAGCAAAAATAAAATCTGGACTATGTTTGGATGATCTTCACTGACAGTTCATAAATGCCCCAACACTGCTGGAGACCCCTCGGGACATCTGGGCAGTCTCCCAGCCCTGGGGTAGGAAGAAGGTGGGTTGCTTGAGGAGGATCTCGTCTTCCTTGTGAGGGAGTTCTTTAGGACACGATGTAGACCTCCAGCAAACTGGCCACTGCGTGCATTCGGTAGAAGATTCCAAAGGGCAGGCAAATGTCCACGATGGCCGGCCACATGGAATCGCCATAGAAGTTCAGTTCTGTGTCATTGTCAAACTGTGGCCGGGCACCAAACGCTGGCATGATCCAGAGCTGTTGGAGGAAACGGGAATAACACCACGGTGAGAAATGTGTGAGGCACAGCAAAGCACCTGCAACCACAGCTACCCAGGGGCGGGAAAGGAGCGACCTTCCGAGCACGGGACCTGGGCCAGGAGCCAGGCTCTGCATTAAGACCAAGTACAGTCTAGTGCTGTACCCTAAGACCAGTCTTGATTCACGCTCAGAGACAGGCTTGGACCACGGGCTGAAGCACTCACTGGGTAAGAGCTCGAGCGTGTGGTGTGTTAGCATGGACCTGGCCTGTGCCAGCTCCGTGGATGGAACAAATGTGGGAAAGACTGAGCTGGGAGCAGCTTGGTCTTCCAGGCCAGGATGTTTGGCTCAGAAGCCCAACCAGCACATGTGCCTGCTTGCATGGGGGTTGTCAGCTCATCCTCTGTGAGTTTCTGTGTGAAATCACTTGAGGACAGGATGTGACTGACTAGCTAGGGACTTGGTGTCTAGAGACATAATATGCTTGGCTTCTTTGGAGATGCAGCTGTGATCCTACATTCCTTTGGCAGGAAACTGCAGTCCCCTGACTGCTCATGAAACCCCAGCTGAGGTTGTCAGTGTCCAGTTTCTCTTAACAGCAACTGGGATCAGCAGTTGGGCTCCTAAGCCTGAGTTTTGAGAAAAGATGCACTGCCATTCCTCAGGAAAACCAAGATTTCACCCCAGGTATTTGTCACTTTACATCCTTTCTCTGGGGGTGAAGGGAAGGGCTTAATGTATTTTATTGCTTTCAATAAGCTATTCTACATATCCATTGATACATAGTAAAAAAACTGAAACAGATTCTTCTCTTGTACCCACCTCTTGTGTCTGACATTCCGGCAATACCTAACAGGTCTATTGGTGTAGCCTAAAACATCTTAACTTCAGGGCAGTTGCTCTTTTTTTTTAGGGGACAGAGGAATGACAACTTATAAATATAACTAAGTGTGCTCTCTGTACAGCAGAAGCACAGAAATGACTGTTTTTCCATGAGGCACATCCTTTCCTTCACAGACCCTTCTCCCTTGTGCTTGCTCCCCTCTCCCTCCCCCCTTCTCTCTGCATGTACTCACTATGACATTGCTCAGTAGGAGGAACATGGAGATCTCCCTCAAGAACTTCCTCCTCCAGTTCATCTCCCTGGGGGCGGTGAGGGACCGCACGAGGTCAGAAGGACACACGGCTTCAGTGCCAGAGGCAGCGCCAGGGGCCAAGGTGCTGCCAGTGTCGGGCACTCGGAGGGACACCGCGTTGATGTTGACAAAGGTGAGCCCGTAGAGATCCTTCTGGTGGGAGTCATGCTTGTAGTCTTCCTTGGGGGGCTGCCGGTGGAGGCCTTCGATGATGAAGATGTTCTGGAAGGTGTGCTGGGCGATCATCAGGAGGGCGTAGGTGAGGTTGAGCGCGCTGATAGCGTCCCTTGGTGTGCTGGCCACGATGGCCACAATGGAGTAGTAGGAAATGGCGTATTGTCCCAGGGCTGCCCCCATCAGCAGGGCCACGTCCAGGGTCCTAGTGGGATTCTTGTGCCGGTCCATGTCCCTCTTGTCAAAGCGGTAGATGACAGAGCCACCGATGCAGACAAGAGACATCAGGCTCAGACAAACGATGTTGAAGATGTAGTACATGGTGAGTGCTTGGCTCTTCTTGCTGGACTCGGTGTTGGAGTTTACCTGCACCTCATAAAGAATGAGGACTCCCAGACCACTCACCAGAATGACGAGGCCCAACATGATGCCTACAAAGAAGGTCCTTCGGAAGAGCCTGAACTTCAGGCGTTGAATGTGGTGGGAGTGGTGGTCTATGAAGCGTCCAACGTTCTTCCACATGACATAGACCATGGCAGAGGCAAAGAGACTGTACTCAATGTTAAAGGGGTACAGCCAAAAGTAGCCATTCTTGAAGATCTGGCAGATTTGGCTGTTGCAATTGCATTGGTCAACTGAGCTACTTCTCATTCCCACTGAAACAAGATAAAAGCAGACAGATGCAGTGGAATTAAAACAAGGAGGCAACACTCATTAGCAGCCCTGAAGAGCTGGATGCTCAGGGTCAGTGAAAAACAAGACCAGTGACAAAAGAATGTTCTGACCACTTTGAAAACAAGGACACTTCAACCTCAGCTTTCTGGTGCCCATGTTCTTCTTTAAGAATTTAATTGGCAGGTTAAATCTCCCTTTTTTTCCCCCTTCCCTTCTTCATTGCCACCCCATTTGTACACAGTCTTCCACCTTTCTGACTCCTCTGTGATACAGGTTAAGAAGCGAACATCCAGACCTGGCTTTTAACATACCAGCTCTGCCAAAGGCACCTCCAGCTCTAGACAGACCCTCCAAAAAGGGATAAAACCTGACTTGCTGAACAGTTCTACCTCACTGGCTCCCTCCCTGGACCAGGTGACTTCACAAATGGCCGGATTACCTCTCAGGAACCACCTGAAGAGTTCCTCTGTCATGTTCTTCTTCAGCTTTGAATGTGCTTTGTGAACAGACTCGTCTGTCACTGCTGACATCCACACCGCCAGGTTTGTAGTCAGTGTCAGCATCAAGCCACACCTGCAGAAGGAGGAGAAGGTTCTTGAGATTAAAGCAGTGGCTCTAGGCCATGTTGCTCCCATCCTGACCCTTGCTTTGCTGCCCTCACTCTCCTCTCTTCCTACTTTTTATCCTTGTTCATGAGAATTTGCAAAGCCTGGTTCCTGTTGTTGGTTTTAGAAGAGCTTCTCAATAGTGAATTAATAGATCTGGATTGGTCTCCAGTCTTGCAAAAGTGGACTAGATCTTATTTTAGCCTGAGGCTTGCCCACTGAATCATTATCTTTTCCAGGGCAGCAAAAGTCAGCTATGAATAACTTTATTTAATGATAATTATTTATTTAATCTGCTTTGAGTAATGCTTGCATTCTTGAACTGAATCCCAACCCTGATATATCCACAGGTCATTAACCTCAACTGTTTGAGCTGGGATCCAAGGCCAGCTGGAGCCACTGATCAGGTTTAGTTTTGGGCAGCATTAAGGGAGATGAGATTATCTCCTTGTTGCATCTTAGCTGTGTGAGAGAGAAAGTTTGTGGTGGCTCAGTTCTCCTGGGCCAGTGGGGTTCAAAGAGCAGCAGTGCTCACCTGGTAACATTCAGGTGCACGTGGATGCAGTCTTTGGCAGAGACCCACAGGAAGTACGTCTGGCAGGGGCAAGAAAAGGAGTTATTTCCAACAAAACAAGAAAGCAAAGCACATCATCCTGAGAGAGGAGCCTCTTTTGCTTGTGTCCATCTGGGCCCAGCCTAGGAGCCCATAATCCTGGCAATTTGCTGAATGTTCTTTCTTTGCTCACACTGCCATTGTTTGCCCATGGCCACTCCCTGTTCCTGTCTAAATTGTCCCTGTCTGACCTCTTCCCTTCTTAGCACTGTCCCAGAGCAGGTGGTCCTCTGTGCAGGACCTCAAACTGTAAGGCAACCCCTGCCCTGACTGTCCTTCTCCTCCTCTGTTCTTCATGGAAAAGGAGACCTGGCTGGATGGGGGCTGCTTAGAGTTTGTGACAAGCCAGAATGTCACAGGACGGGAACAAATTTAAGTCAATGCCTTAAAGTGAGTTGCCCCAGGGAGGGAGAAGATGTGGGCTGGGTGGGGCTGAGTTAAGCCTCTGCATTTGCTGTGGGGGCGGTTGAACTATGTTCATGAGATCAGAGCTCTTCCACTGGTGCCTGTGTCTCTCTACCCCTCCCTGAGACTGAGCAGAACCATCTCACCTGGACGACCACGAATATTGCCTGCACGATGGGGTAGATGATTTTGATTGCAGACAGGCAGCTGTAGAAGCTCGAGTAATATCCTATTTTGAACACGTCCATGACAAGGCTGAAAATGGCAAATAGAATCAGGCCTCCTGTTGAGGAACAAAAATATCTGTGGTTGGACAGATATGTGAACACATGGGCTAATGCAGATAGATGAGAGGAAGATGAGGAACTGTTGTCATGGAGGGGTTTTGCTTCTACCACTGTTTCTCCTTTCCCAGCACCAACAGAATCGTACAATTATTTTGGCTGGAATGGATTTTCAATCAACCCTGTACTCTGGGGTTAACAGCTCTGGCAAAAGCTGAGAAGGATCTTAGGCTGGGAAGGATCCTGGTGTAAATTACCAAGAGCCCTTGTGGATACAGGGAGACCTGGCAGTGAATCCAGTGGAGGGAGCAGGAGCTGACCTGAAGCAGGGCATGGTGCCATGCCCCAGAGCAGGAGGAGGCTGTGCCCACATGGTTGCTGCTTCCCTTGTAATAACTGATGCTCCCATGAACTCTCCACCTTGTACCTCCCCTCCAACCCCAGCCCCCGAGAGCTCCTACCTCTCAGCCAGATGGGCCCAGCGTGGGAGTCCTTGCACAGGATGGCACCTGGGCACCGGGAGGTGCCAGCGAGGTAGAAGATGATCCATATGATGACTATCAGCATCATGACAGTCAGCAGGAAGAACACATCGTAGTCGTGCACGGCGATCTTCTCAAAGGCCCCGCTGCTCACCAGCGTGCAGGCCAGCAGGGCCAAGTGCACGGCCAGCAGGATGGAGAACATGCGGCCGCCCTTTTTCCACACTTCCTTGGAGGCAGGAGTGGAGGGGGCCTGGTGGCTGAAAGATGCTATCTGGCTCAAAGCCAGGCTGGCTTTGTCGTCCTTGTGTCCGCAGCCCATGCTGGAGTTGGGGTGTCCGGTCTCGCTGTCCTTCCGCCTGGGCTCTTCAGTCATGGTTCAGCCAATGCTCTGTCTGAGGGTCAATGCTGTTGGGAGGAGAGTCCCATGAATGAGAGGTGCCACTTCATTTGGAACAGTCCAGGGCTGGACCAAAGCAGGACACGTGATGAGGAGGAGAGGACATATCAGAGGAACAGGGAAAGCTGAGACGGGGACTGCAAGACAAGGGATGAGCTCATTCTCAACCTTTCCTTTCCTGGTTGCCTGAAGGCTGCTGTTGCTTAAGATGCTTTTGCTCGGGGAGATCCCAGGTCACATATCACATTTACGTGTTTATTGATGCAAGATACCGGAAAAGCACCAAAAAGTGCTCACGGGATCAAATATCCTGGGGCAAATGGCCAGTGTGGTTTTGATTTCTAAATGCCAAATACTAGACATTCCAAGAAGTTGTTATACTTCCTGGCTGAAGAACAGGCCAAGAAAAAGGTAAGAAACCCCAGAATCTTTGGACCATCACATTGTAATTTTTACCAGTTCCTGCAAGAAGGGTGTGAGCTCTCTTTGCTGTCACACCCTCTAGAGCCCCTTGCCCTTGCCAAGTTTAGAAGTTCATTGACTCTCAATGAAAAGGCTGAAACAAAGCCATTTCACCAACCTGTTTTGCTGCCTGGGATCCAAATCTCTGCTCTTGCCAGGCTGAGAAGTTTCCCTGTAGCTGCAGCTTGGTCAGTCGAAGAATTTATACCCGTTGGGATGTCTCTGTGATTTATACCATGTCTGGAGCTGACAGCAGGGCTTCGTGGGCTTCTCAGAGAAACTCATGTGATGCATTTTGTGCAATAGCTGATTTTGGGGAAGCTGGACAAAGACAAGGAGATAAGGGTTATTTACCCAATGAGAGCATGAGTTGACAACACTGCTAAGCATGGCATGGACCGCTCGGTCGCAGGGTCAGGGTCACCAGAGAGCAAAGCCACCCCATCAAACCCATCTCCCTGCGTCCATGAGATCTCTTCCCTTGAGAGAAGATGGTTTAGATGACGAACTTATCTTTGCTGATGATGTGGTGCTTGGCTTTCTGCTTAACTGAGCACAATAAATATTGTGCCTCGCCCTGTCTTATTCAAATCAATCTGCTCTAGGCCTGGAGCGTTTTTGAGGAAAAAGGAAGAAATTTGCATTTGCATCTGTTCAGTGCCAAGGGTAATGTAATCCTTTCCCACCCATGATGGCAACAATGAGGAAGGCTGAGCACTAGAGCAGGGCAGGATTTGGGGACTGTAATTCGTGTTCTTCGACTTTGCTGACGCACCGCCTTTGATTTTTCAGGGTGGGACCACCTTTCTCTGGCCCTTTCTCAGAAGCTTAACTCCTCTCCTTCCAAGGAGGAAGTCATGTTATAAACCACAGTGCAGATGGGATTCAAGCTTTTGCCAGGTGAGGTGAGAGCTTCTGCTCAAGGTCTCTTTCTCCCCAGCTTATGTTTCATGGAGGAGATGGGGAGACCCAGGGCAGTTCTCAGTGGATGGGGATGAGTTTTAATCCCTGAAAATGCCTCTTTTAGAGGTGTCCCTACCACTTTCCCCCTCTAGGGCCCAGCACTGAGGCTGCTTGCTGTGTGTTTTCTCAGTCCTGTTCCTGCCTGCTCACCACCGCGCTCCTTTGAGCACTGCAGGGACAGCACCAAACTGAGCTGCGTGGGATGGTGAAGGAGAGCTCAGGATCAGATCTCCATGAATCCCTCCCGTGCTGCCACCAGCCGGCTGCCACCAGCCCTGGGTCTGCCCTGCTGATCCTTAGGGCTTCCTTTCGGGATGAGTGGTTGAACTTTCCTCAGTCTGTAGCCTCTCCCAGGGGAAGCCCAGGCCTCCCTGAAGTAAAACTGAGTGGATAATGATGTTTTGCAGAAGGCAGAGGTTCAGAGGCCCCTCGGGCTAAACGCACTGGTTTATCCTCCCTCTTTTGTCCTTAACAGCCAGTAACAGAGGAAAGAGTGTTTACTGCCTCGGGCAATGCTCCCAGTCCCCCGGCAGCGACCTTAGAACACTCGTTTCACGACAACAGCAGAACAAACTTAATTAATAATAACACGAGAATCATTAAATAACCTCGGTAATGAATTGCAGACGTTACTGTGCTGCTTTTTCACCTGGAAGGATCCCATCTACAAATACCTCCGTGGCTACTACATCCATCAGGACTCACCTGGGGAGGCTGAGCTGGCACAAGCAAACCTGCCAAGGTGAGCAAACCCTGCAGGGAGCAGCAGACCCTGCCTGGGGCACTTACAGGTGTCCCCAGGCAGCCAGGACAGTCACTCCATGTCTGTCACCCAGGGGTTAACTACTGCAGCTTGTGTGGGTGTACCTGGCACTGCTTTAGGGCCACCCTCCTGTCCTGGGGCATTTTTTTCCAGCCCTGGAGATCTCCCATTCCCAGAGTCAGGACATGACAGGCAAAATGAACAAGGGAGCGGCAGGAAATTGCTCCCCCACAACAGCACGTCCCAGGGGATACAATTCACCAATTCACCCTTGGGTGCTGGGACAACTGTGTGCTTTGGTCAACATCCAGGCTTGCCTCGATCTTTCCCAACAGCAGAGGGTGCCCGGGGCCCGGGAATACTGTGCTGGAGGCATTGCCCGGGGTTGTCCAGCTCCCCGAGGGTCTCACCCAGCCAGGAATTCTGTGTCAGCATAAAAGACACCAGAGGCCAGACACTGCACCCCCATGCACTCACAGTGAAGCACCGAATTACAGATGGGAGTAGGCTTGGTGTTGTTTTACTCTCCAGAGAGGAAAACAGGGTGAGGAAGGGGATTTTCCCAGCCTATACAAGTTTCTTTGGTTTATCAAGGATTCCTGTTGTGCAGTTTGTTGTGCAATTCCCTGGGAAGCAGAATTCTGTGGGTATAGGCAGGGTAGAAGGGGGACAGGGATAGTGACTGGCTCTGCTGTTATCTTCCTAGTGGCACTAGGGATTTATATATGGATAGATAGATAGATATAGACCTACTCCTCCTCCTGTGGTTGCTGCTGCCCCTCCCTTGAGGTGGGGTAGTTATGGAGAGGGGCATGGGGGGGTATCAGGCAGGATACAACCTATGAGCCTTTCTGGCAGCCTGCTCTGCTTTGGGGACGTGCAGACCTGGCGAGTTGTCACTGTGTGACCCTGTGCCCAAGTTCTGGGCTGAGCCCGAAGTGATGCTGCTTAATTGGAGCTTTTAATGCGCCGTGGAGCTGGTGTGTGTTACAAAGAGCCGTCGGGGCCGGAGGATGCTTAGGACCCAGGGGAAGCGCTGTAGAGCCTGGCTGGCTGAGCTTGGAACAGCTCCTGCCTCGCCGGCCGGGACTTCTCAGGTGTCCTGGTACTGCGGAGCTGTGCGAGGCGAGCGGGGCCCTCCTGGCAGCTCCCCCTGCCTCACACCCATGCCCGTCCCCTGAACCCCCTGGGCACCCATGTGCTCGCCCGGGGACCGCTCCGCACCATGAATGACCAGTACCACCGGGCCGCCCGGGACGGCTACCTGGACCTGCTGAAGGAAGCCACCAAGAAGGACCTGAACTCGCCGGACGAGGATGGCATGACCCCGACACTATGGGCTGCCTACCACGGCAACCTGGACGCCCTGCGCCTCATTGTCAGCAGAGGGTGAGTGTGGGCGAGTGCACGGTGCTGGTCTGGGGGGTGGAAGAGCCGGGACCCCCATCTTTCCCCCTTCCCTGCTCACAGGTCAGTGTGCCCCAAAAAACGATGCATTCTGTCCATAACACCCCTGCTCCTGTCCTCCCCACCGTTATTTTTCTCTGCTTGTGGTGCTTTGAGTCTAATCCAGTGCTCCTGATAACCGCTCTCTGCTTTCCCAGCTCCTCTGACCCTATAACCACTCCTGCCCCCAGCCCTGTTTGCAGCTCCCCTGGTGAGGATGGGTCCCCCCTACAGGTGCTTCATGGTCCTTTACACATCCTGTAAACACAAGCACATCGGGACACTGACATGAAAAAAGCCCTTTTAAATGAGGGGGCAGAGAGAATAACTGCTCCTTCTGTCCCAAGAATGCTCACAGAGAGATGTGCGCAGTGCCTGCTGGCAGTGGGTGACCCTTGTCTGTTTTACCCGAAGCAAGGTCTCAGTATGTGACCCCTGGGCAGCCTGTTGTGCACCTGGAGCCCAGGAAATTCAGGAGCAGGTTTTCCAAGAGCAGATTTCTTTAAGCCCAGTCTCCCCCACAGGGGTTGCTCAATGCTCGTGTGTCTCTCTGTACCTCACCCTCGGCTGCTAAATCTTGGGGTTTCTGGCTCTGTAAGAGTGGATGTGGTGGAGAGGAGGGAGTGGGACTGAGGAGACTTGTCAGACTGGTAGGATTTACACCCTGGTGTTAAGAGGAACTACTCTTGAGCAGTATGTGGCCCTCCTGTTCTTACCAAATCCACATGCCAGTGCTTCCTTCCACTCTGGTGGCTTTTCTGAGCACCTTACCTAAAGGCACCCAAGGTTGAGAGACTGGTGGTAGTGCTGATTTTGATTCATGTGTTTCTAATATTGAGGAATGGTGCTGAGGGAGGTCAGCAGCAGCCTGGATGTTCATCGTCCATCCTTGGAAGGGCTTTGCTTCTCCATGTTGAGCCAGGGCTTGGTGGGGCTGTCAGCTCCCATCCAGGGACTTTCTGTATCCAATGTGGGCTGTGTTAGCAGCTCTTGTATTTGGTCATTCACATCTCCACTGTGCCTGTTCCTGGGCTCTCAGCATCTCCTGAAACTCTGGTTTTCTCGTATAAAACCTTCATCCAGCTCCACAGCTGCACTCAAAGGCAGAGCTCCTCCACCCATTGCTGTCCTTCAGTTATAAAGCATTTCCTCTCAGATCCTGGGGTCAGAAAGGCTGTGTATAGAGTTGTTTTGAGAAGTCCTTGAGCACCTGATGCAATAGGAATGTGGTCAGGAAAGGATTATTTCCGAGTCCAGAAGGGACAGAGCAAGACATTGCTCCGAGTGGAGCATTCCAAGATGGTCCTGGGCTGAGAGTCCCGTGATGCTTTCCTGGGTGGGGGTTGTGTGGCTCACCGTGCACCTCCCAGGAAAGATTGTGCCCAGCAGAAACTTTCCTTGAGATCCTGCTGGGAGGGGAATTGCCATCCAGGGACAGAGAGACATGGGCAGGAGAGCTCTGGGCATGAGATCCTGAAGTAGAAATGGTTCCAAAGACTCTTTGATGGCCAAAAAGTTGATCTGAAAGGCCCATGCTGTGAATGAACACTCCTCCAGAAAGGCAAAGCTGTTCAGACTGACTTTGTAACCTCTTTATATCACTGTATCTCCTTATATTGCTCACCTACATCACAGGGCACCCTGCAGCACCATTGCCTGCCCTGTCAACCCCCATCCAAGCCAGCGGTTTCTGCCACCCCACAAAGTCCAAGGGCTGCTTTTTCATGGACAGGCCCCTTTTATAAATCCACATTGGATTAAAAGGTCCTTGTGGGCTCAGTCGTGTCTGAGTGCAGCTTGGCTGCTGTTTAATTAACAGCCTAATATACATTTGTTCCTGACAAGGAAAATAGCCTGGCAAAAGCCCAGTGCCCTTTACATGATGGATAGTGTAGCAAACTGTGCAGCTGTGGGACTGCAGGATGTGTTTGTATCCGTGCATTCATCTCCATGTGTCAGATCCTTGCCCAGGGCCACACAGAGACCAGCGAAGTGCTCGGCATGGAGGCAGGCATGTCCCTGCTTCCTGGAGCAGGAGAGGTGGGAAAGCCCCAGCCTGGGGACAGGGGTGCCAGAGAGGTGAAATTGCACAGGACCCAGGAGAGCCTGAGAGCAGAACCCTGTAATTTTCTGCCCTCAGTGCTTAGGA